GTTTCGTCGGAACGAAGTTACGGAAAGTTAATTAACAAACGGAGACGTAACAATACCTATATTTATATCTGAACTTACTTATCAAATTTTAGACTTTTTGTTTAAATAGATCAGGTCCTAAGATTATGATCTGTTACTGATTTCACTAATTCTGGTTAGCTAAATACCAATGCACACATTTGCTCTAATAGATAATACCAGTTTGGGAAAGCTTTTTTTAATCATTAAACCATGACTCAGAATTTTGATGTTTGCATTAGAATGGTAAATCATGTATCAGTTGATAGGCCTAGTGTTCTACTGTAAAATTATTTTTATTATATGAATGCACCTTCACAAATGTAAATACTAATGATAAAAGGTAGCAAAAATCATTTTTCTCCATTGAATTTACATAAAATGGCCAGATGTTTAGTTGGAATATCTGAAAAGGACATGCATCCCTTGGAACATCTTAATCACTGAGTCTAATAATAATAATAAACAATAGTTCAGCAAAGTTATCTTATGATTGTAAAATGAGACAAAAAACAACATTTCTATATCATAATAAAATGAAAGTTAAGGAAACGTTTTCTGAAAGCTTAGATTGGCCTTAAAACAATAGTTTGTAATACAACTACTCCTTCATTTTTTGTATTTATCCTTATCTGAGGATAAACTAGGATTTTGAATTTCCACCTCCTTTTCAACACTTAATTCTTGATCACCTGGACTTCTTGGACTATCAAACCTGCAGGGGCAAGTTTCCAACAATGTGAATGATATACAGGTTGTGCTTTGGTTACTCCTTTCTTCAGCTAACCAACACAATTGTTCACTTCCACTTCTTCTGAAGAACAGCTCTACAAGGAGGGATGGTGCAAGGATTTAGGCCCCCCAGTGGCACAGCGATATGTCTGGGGACTTATACCACTAGAAACCCGGGTTTTAATACCCGTGGTGGGCAGAGCACAGATAGCCTTTGTGTAGCTTTGTGATTAATAATAAACAACAGCAATAATTCAGTGTCTTAATCTTTTCCATCAGTTGGATCTTGGATGCATACTGTTTAGAAAACCAAAAAATCTAGCATCATTGCCAGTCTTTATTTTGGATATGGAGTACATGGCACAATATGTGATGTGACATCAGGAGTTATTGGCTTAGCCTCCCACAATCCATTTTTCAATTATGAGCTGCTAATAATCCATCCTATTTATTTTTTGCAAATTAGGTAGTAGATCAGAAGCTTAATGTTTATAGAAAAATTGTAATATATTAAGGCTTCTTCTGTAGGGTGCAATATTGTGTTCATGGATTAACATTTTCACTGATGCCTCAATTGTGACCTCTAAAATTGGTTCCCGACCTTCAAGTTGGATGTTTGGATAACATATACCCACCATATCATACAGAGTGTCTTTTTTAGAAATTGTGTCTGTCAGTTCACCATAGTTATACCATGTAAGACCAGCTGCCAAATCTTTCAAATGAAGAAACCTATCCGGAGTAGTTTAGCTACTTTCAACTGTATCTGTACCTACTCTCAGTCAAATTTTTAAAGATGTTCTAATGGGTTTACTTTTCCTTTGGTTACTGCAAATACAGCATCTTGTAATATAAAATTTCACTACATCAGATGCATTTCGGTGTGATCTTCCTTTAAGCAGTAACTTTAAAACTTTAAAAGAATTCTCCTGTTTGAAAACCTTCTAGTTGAAATCTGTGACCCATTATATAAGTGGCTTTCCGAAGTCAGAGAATGGCTGCAAATGGAA